CATCTGGCACGCGGTCGCTGATGACAGGCCGCCAGAAGCTTTAATCGCCCCCGAGGCAGCCCTGCAGGGGTTGCTCGGCGCCGAGGCCCTCGACTACGCGTCCGAGGACCTCTCGGTTGCGCCGTGCGATCGCGGCCTGGTCTCGTGGCCAGACACATCGGCGTGCTTGCTGGGCGCGTTGCCTTGCCCTGACCGCCGGGGGGCGATGGGCGGTCACCGTTTGAGGGGGCCCGAACTGAGGGGGCGCCCCCGCCGGACTGCGAGGTCTACCGGGATAAGACACTTCGCGCGGACAGAGACGAGTGAAAGCTTTTTGTTTCGGAATTGTTGAATGGGGGCGCGGTGGAGCTCCGAACTCGTTGAGATCCTGTGGATTGGGTATATTCTTCGTGCGCAAGACGTCAGGCCGTCTACGCCTGAAAGTTGATGCGCGTTCAGTCAACCAGAAGCTCCGGAGTCCTACCTGAATGCAGTTAGCCTCTACCGCGGCGGTCGTTGGCCTCGAGGTGGAGCTGGCTGACAAGCTGAAGTTCTCGAGTCAGGATATCGCGGATTGATTCTACCAGTTCGAGGTGCTAAGGTGCCAGACTTCATGGTGCCGTGGTCTGGGATGAAGCCGGTCAGAGCTGGCGAGATGGGGGTGACGGCCGTGCTGGGAGAGCCTGTCTCGGCGGGCGCGCGGCTGTGCCCCTGTCTGTGGGTCTTGCCCATGGGGTTCTCATGGGCCATGAGGCAGGCGCAGCAGGCCCATGGAGAGCTCCTGCGGCGCGCAGGACTAGGAGGCATTGGGAGTGAGCTGGTGGACCGGCAGGTGCTGCCAGAATCTTCGGCGTGCCCAGTGATTCGCATCGTGTGCGTGGACGACGAGGTGTTCGCCCCGCCCCGGCCAGGGGCCTCCGCCGCCGCCAGGAAGCAGGCTGCCAAGGAGATGTTCAGCGTCGGCCTGCCGCTGCACGAGGTGGAGGAGGGCGAGCGCGTCGTGGGGGCGCTGGGGCTGGAGCTGGATGGCATCGAGCCCCGATACTGCCTGGCGCCGTCGAAGAAGAGGCGGCCGGTGCATGGCGCTCGCGCATTGCTCGGGCGGCGGCTGGTGGCGGGCAGGTTGTTGGAGACGCTGGTCGGCCACTTCGCGCGCGCCGTGCTGCTCGACCGCCCGGCTCTCTGCATCCTCCGCGCCGCCAACGACTTCTCTCGTCGGCGCTATCGCGCGCCTGGTGGACTTTGGCCAGCGGTTCGACAGGAGCTGCAGGATGGATGTCATGCGCATCTTGTCGCTGCTTGCGGCGCAGTTCGATTTGCCGTGGTCCGAGCTGGTCGCCCGCTCCGACGCGACGCTGAGGGTTGCGCGGTGCAGGGGGTGGACTATCCGATGTCCGAGTTTCGGCGCGTGGGGCGCCGGGGTGATCGCAGGCGCTTCGTGGTTCAGGGGGCCGGCCGGCCTCGATCGGGCGTTGGGCGGCACGTCGCTGCCCGAAAGCCCCGTGGCGTTCCCGCAAAATGCAGGGATTGACTAGGGGTGAACTTCTTCCATTTCGCGACAGTCATTGTGTCATTGCCGACGTTGACGACGTCTTCATCAGCGTCAATGACCTGTTCCCTGAGCTTCCAGCATCTTTACCAAGGAGGGCAACTGGAGGACGATGCAGGCGCGGAGGCGTCACGGGAAGGAGGCAATACACTGGAAGGAGTTGAGGGCAGTATTCTTCTGATGGAGACGTAAATGCAGACAAGCCAAACATCATCATCAAATCATCTGCTTTTGTGACTACTTGGGCGTAGTCTTGAGTCTGGAGGAGGGTCGAGCGGTCTCTGTGCCCGTGCTGTTTCTGCTCAGAAAGTGGCCGCCCTTTCCTTGGCCACGTCCTCTCGTGCCATTGTGCGCTGGGTTACAAGTGGGCTTTGGCCCCGGTGGGCCCGGCCGATGGTTCGACGCGCCTGCCGAGCAGGCGGCTGCAGCTGCATTGGGGGCCCTCCGGTGCTGGGCGGACGGAGGAGCGCCTGGGGCTTGCAGTAGCCCCTCCCGCGCTGGCTGGCGCAGGCGCTCCTGGGGGCCGGGCCTCAGCGCCCCGGAAGGGGGCTGGCGAGCTCGGGCAGCGCCGTCGCCGTGGCCGAGGTCGAGTGTGGGCAGAGCGGAGCTGGTCAGGGCTGCGGGCGCGAGGGGGTGCGCCCGCGATTGGATCCTGCAGCAGGAGAGCGCGGCGACCAAGACGAAGGAGGACTGCGAGAGGAGACTGGCGCGGTTCGTCGACTTCTGCAAGACCAACGGCCTGGCGCGCGACGCCGACGAGCTGCTGGAGAAGGCCTTGGTAGAGTGCGTGGACTTCTTGCTCGCGCTGTGCGGGCCCTGCAACAGCGGCGACGAGCTTCTGGCGGCGGTGGGCCACTGCTGGCCGAGGCTCCACCGCGCCGGGCGGCTGCTGAAATTGTTGAGGGTGGCCAAGGCGCTGCAGGGCTGGCGCGGGGTGGTGCCGCCGGTGACGCGGGCGCCTGTCCCGTGGGCAGCCGTTGCGGCGATCGCGCTGGCGTTGGCCCGACGCGGGCAGCCGCGCGCGGTGCTTTCGCTGGCGCTGGCGGCGGGCGCCTACCTGCGGCCCGGCGAGTTGCTTTCGCTGCGGGCCGACCGCGCGGTGCCGAGCCAGCCGCGGATAGGGGGCGATTGCCGCTCCGCGTCGTTGGTGCTGGGGCCGGGGGAGGAGCTGCTGCCCGCCGAGACCAGGGGCTTCAACGACCCCGTCTTGCTGGGCAGTGTGGCGAGGCCGTGCCTTGGCGCGCTGCTGGAGAGGCTGGCGCGCCAAGCAGAGTCCTCGACGGCTCTCCTCTCCACGTGGTCGGCCGCGGCCGGCACTGCCGTGTTCCGGGGTGCTGCGGCCGAGGCTGGTCTGAGCAACTGAGAGCTGGCGCCCTGCATCTTGAGGCTTGCGGGGCCGTCCCACGACTGGCTGACCAAGGCGAGGTCGCTGGGCGGCGTCGAGCGGCGCGGCCGGTGGATCTCTGACATGAGCGCGCGGAGGTGCGAGGAGTCCTCGCGGGTGATGAGGCGTCTGGCGACGCTGCCGCGGGGCTGCCGGCTGCTTCTGTCCGATGCGGCCAGCAGCCTCGAGCGCGGGCTTCGGTTCGGACGCGCCTCGAAGTTTGAGAGCAGGCTCCGAGACTTGGGGCCGATTTGAGACCGTTTTTTTTTTTTTTTTTTTTTTTTTTTTTTTTTTTTTTTTTTTTTTTTTTTTTTTTTTTTTTTTTTTTTTTTTTTTTTTTTTTTTTTTTTTGTTTTTTTTTTTTTTTTGTTTTTTTGTTTTTTCTTGTTTTGAGTTTTTGCGGGCCAGCAAGGGCTGGCTCGTGCCCTTGCCCGCAGAGGGTGGCGGTCTGCCACCTGGGGCCCCCCTCGCCGCGCCACGACGTGACCAGAGAAGTTGTTGTCGGGCAAAATTTGCAGTTGCTTTCCGGCGCGAGCTGGGTGCATCTTGGCACGCCCTGCAGTTTTTTTTGTTTCTTCCCCCCCTGGACAGCTTTGCGAGGCGTGCTCAGCAGCCCAGGTGGTCCCCTCAGGTCCTGGCAGCGACCCGGGGGCCTCGAGAATCTGTCAGCCGCCGATGCGGCCAAAGTTTGAACGGGTACTCGTCTCATGCAGGTCTCAGCACGTGTCATCAGAGTTTGCATCAAACATGAAGTGCAAGTGTCATTGGAGAACCCTGGGTCCTTTTGGGCTGTGGAGACAGCCCGCCGTCGCGTCACTCTTGCGTCAGGCTCAGATCGCAAATGCTGTGTGGTGTGAATTCGGGACGTCGTTGCGGAAAGCCACGGCCGTCGCGTACTGCAGCCCGACTTATCTCGTTCGCTCGAACCCTGATTTGCATAATGTAATGGCCCTTGCTGTACAATCGCAGGTAGAAGACATCAGATGTTAGAAGGCAAAGTGTCCGTGGGAGAGCTTTGGACCTTTGTTGCTGAGCCGTGCCCTCGTTCTCTGGTTGCGCCGTGGGCTGCGTGCATTGACAATTGGAAGAATGTGGGAGAAGGGCCGCCTCGACCGCCAGGTCTCTAGATAATGGCGGTTGTTGGCAAGGGTGGCCATGTGGCCAAGTGTTCTCTCTGCTGCTGCCTCGCCGAGCTCGGCAGCAATCGCAACGGTAATAACTTGGCCTGAAGATAAATGGAGCATGTAGCAACGCAGGGCAGTGTGCAATGCTGAATGTTCTGTGCTGGCCGCAACTGTTTGTCTTCGAGCGGTTCTTTAGCCCATCCGCGCTACTTCGCGCCCTTCTCAGTGTGCCTTTCGGCAGAAGCGCGGAGCCTGGACTGTTGCCAGAGAGTGTTTTTGTTTCTGTGCAAAGGTGGCCATTTAGCCTTGTGTTCTCTCTGCTGATGCCTCGCCGAGCTCGGCGGCCGCAATCACATCGATAATAGCTTGGCCTGAAGATAACTGGAACATCCGAGCATCCTCCTCTTCCTCCTCGTCTCCTCCTCCTCCTCCTCCTGTCCTTCTCTCTCCCCCCTCCACCTTCTCCTTTCCCTTCCCGCCTCAGCTCCTTTCTTCCTCCCTTTATTCCCCTATCTGGCGCCAGCGGATTCTGCGAAGTTGTTCAGGTTGAGTTTTCTGCATGTGGGCCCGCCCCCATGCCACGATGTCCCAACATTTCATCCCCGCCCAGCCCGTCGTCCACTATGACCTCCCACATCTATTTCTCCTTATTCTCCTCTCTCCTTGTTGCCCCTCTCCCCCCCTTCCCCTCCTCCTGTTCCTGTCGTTTTCCTCTCCCATTTCATCCCATTCCCCTCCCCCTCTTCCTGTGTTTTTCCTTCCCTCCCCCCTACTCCTTCCTCTCCTCCCCCCCCTCCTCCCCCTCGTCCTCCCCCCCCTTTCTACTCCTCTCACCCCCCCTCCTCCCCTCTTCCTCCCCCCACTCCCATCCCCTTCCCCGCTTCCCATCCTCTCCTCCTTCCCTCCCCGGCGCATCATGGCCCAGCGCCGCGGGTTCCGCGGCGCCCACGGCTATCGCCCGCAGGCGTTCGCCGTCGTGAAGGCCGCCTACTTCAAGGAAAAGACGCTCGTTGCCAAGCACATGAACAGGCCCCCCTCCGCTCCTTCCTGCCGTCCTTTCCTCCTCTTTCTCTTCTTTTTCTCCTCCCACTCTTCCTTCTCCTCCCCCTCGTCCTCCCCCTCCTCTTCCTCCTCCTCCTCCTCTTGCCTCCTCCTGCCTCGCCCTCCTGCCCCCGCTTCCTCTCTTTTCCCTTCTCCTCCTCCTGCTCCTCTTCCTCCTCTTCTCCCAGCAGCACCCTGAATCGGATCCTCCTCCTCCTCCTCCTCCTCCTCCTCCTCCTCTTTCTCTAGCGGCACCCTGAATGGGGTCCTCCTCGTCCTCCACTCCCTGTCCTTGATCTCTGTCGCGCCCCGAGACGAGTTTTTAGGGCGGGGTGGGCGTTTCGCCAGAGACTTCCTCACCATCCATGATTCTGAAGCTTTAAAAATTGGCAGCCGCTTCGCAAACGGAGGACGGGTGATTTTCACAATGTGGCTCTCGCCTAAACGCCGCGCGCATTCTTTTTTAATGCATTGCATGAGTTTCACGGATTGAGGGCGGTTCCTTTTCAACATGTGCCTCTCGCGCTAGCGCTGGCGCACATTCTTTTTATACTTTTTGCACGAGTTTGACGGATTGAGGGCGACCCGTTTTCAAAATGTGGCTCTCGCCTTATCGCCGCGCACACTCATTTTAAACATTTACAGTAGTTATACGGATGGAGGGTGGTTCGTTTTCAACATGTGGCTCTCGCTTTAGCACCGCGCACATTCGTTTATACAAGAATTTCACGGGTTCCCATGGTCAACGTACCAGAAATGGTGTTTAGGAAGGATTCCGGATTATGCGGGTGCAGAAGTTACGTTGGTTCGCGGCGTTGAAGGCCAAATAATGGCGTTCTGGTTCGAGTCAGGATCGTCGAAACGCAACAATCAGGTTGATCCATTGCGTTGGAATCCCGAGAACAATGTTTTGGCATGCTTCAGGGTCTTCAAAATGGTTGTCTTCCAACGACGCAGTTCCTTCAATGGAAATGAATCGTTGTAGGGGCCTATGAAAAGGGAGCTTGGAGGAAGGGTTTATTCCAACATCGTTGATAACTCCTGGATATGTCCAAAGGCAAGCTGGTGCCGCACTAGGGGCCGCCGAGTTCCCGTGCTCAGAGATGGCGCAGCCAATAGGCGTAACTCGACATCGTCGTCGCCAACGCTCCTTCGAGGATCCCCCTCCTCCTCGTCCTCTTCTTCCTTCTCTTACCTCCCCTCCTCGTCCTCCTCGTCCTCCTCGTCCTCCTCCTCGTCCTCCTCGTCCTCCTCCTCCTCCTCCTCCTCCTCCTTCTCCCCTTCTCCTCCCCCCTCCTCTTCGTCCTCCTCGTCTTCCTCCTCCTCTTCATCATCCTGCCCTCCCCTCTCCTCTTCCTCCACCTCCTCCGCCCCATCCACACCAGGAACTAGCTCTTCATCCAATGCTGGTGCTCGGAGCAGCGGTTCTGGCGACTGTGTCGCTGGGCCGCAGTGTTTTGGTTCGGGTGACTGTGCCACCAGACAGGGACTGCAAGGCTGCCCAGATACAGCGGAAGTGCCGAGACGAACAGCGCGACGAACCACCGACACATCGGTTGGCAAACCGATTCCTTCCGACTGGACTCGTTTCGCCGTTCCCACGTCACTACGAGCACTACGAGGGGACTCGCGCGAGACATGCCAGAGCTGCGCAGATTGCACCGCTGGTGGTGGCGCGCCGCTGGGGAGGCCATGGCGCGAACACAACGCGCAGCCAGAAATTCCCAGGGCATCTTCGTCCTCATACCAACAGTGGTGAACAACTGTAGGAATGCCGCAAGTGGAAACCACCAGCACACCAAACGATCCCTACACTCCGACTCTCAGTGCGATTCAACGACCACGCCGATTGCGACATCTTTCGCTACGAGGATCGCAGGATCATCCATCTAATCTGCTGCGCTTCGCGTGGGCGCAGCTGCCAGGAAATTGATTTCATACGCGATTCGGTTTTGCTTGCAGCCATCGACAGATCATGGGTCAACCTTTTCGGTGCGATGGAGGCGTTTATCGTGCACGGAGAGGGCGGCATGACCTCTACCTACTTCTTGGAGGAAAGAATGCGACGAGGAGTCCAGGTGGATATTCGTGCCCCGCGACAGCACGTTCGCTTCATCGAGCGACGTGGTGCTACTCTACGACATGCATTTTGCGCCACAGAGGAGCAGCTAGAGCACGAAGGTATTGGGGCTCACTTCGGTTCAGTGATTGTTCGCGCCGCATTTGCAGGCAACAGCTGTACTCATGTTGGTGGCGTCGCGCCATGCAATTTCGTCTTCTGGAGGCAGCCGTCTATACTGCCACCGCTGGAAGCATACGAATCGGGTGAGGTGTCTGGCGACTGTGTCGCTGGCGCCGATCCCTTTGCTAGTGGGGATGTGCAGCCCAGCCGATTGCAGTGGCGGATCAGAGAGGTCGCGCTGCAACGCGTGATTGAGGCCACGCCCACCTCCCGCGTCAGCCGCGCCCTCCAGACACGCGCCGCCGAGTCCAGCGAGGACCGGGTGGAGATCCACAGGCCTCCGAGCACAAAGGACGTATCAGGTTGGACCGGTCCTGGGACTGTCGCGTCTGTCGGTCCGGCTCAAGGATAGGTAACGGTCAAAAGTGCAGTCGAGCCGACGTGGTCTGCAGACTGCAGGATGTCAGGCCCTTCATCGCTGCCGTCTTCGACGACATGGGCACCGGCCTGGCTAGAGCTGGCCAGGCCTGTGACCGAGTGGAAGCCTTCGTCGAGCACGTCATCCCAGGCTCTGGCACCAGGACCTTCGCGGCCACTGGGAGAGCGCGAGGCGCGTGCAGATGATCGCGCGGACGCGGCAACGCCTTGACATCATCGAAACTCTACGCCACGTACCCCGCACATGCTTTCAGCTTTCAGAATCTCGCGCCGTGCTTCTACTGTGGGCGATTGGCCAGGCTGCGCCCGCAGCGTGGTCATCTGGTGGTACTCTCAAAGTCTTGGCGGCATCCGGCAGATCCACTTGGGCGGCATCAAGTTCGACGCCCGCGCGGTCATCGGCGATCAGTGGAAGGGCGCTCGCATCGTCCAGTTGATTCTGTGTGGCGAGGCGCTTTTGGCAGCAGACGCCAGACATAATCCATATGTGGCGTTTGATGATTGGGTCATCGGCGCTCCTGAGGACGCTATCAGCGTCGCTGAGGGAGGGTCGCCATCGGTATTGTCGGCCATGCCCGAGGCCGGCCCGAGGAGACCGGCGCCGACTTGTCCGGCCACGCCCAGTAGGTGATGTTGGCGGCGTGGCACGAAGTCGAAGGGGCAGGGGACCTGGCCCAGGAGTTGGATGCGCTTGAGAGCGACGACGGCTGGCGGATGATCTGCGCTGCCGTCGAGCACGCTGCGGCTGGTCCTGGCCGCCGGCCGCGCGAGTGGCCCTGGCGCCTTGCGACGCGGCGCCAGCGTCGAGGTACCGCCACTCCTTGCGCGGCGCCGCCCTGTAGGACTGAGCCGCGTTTGAGGAGGGGGGCGAACGATGTGGGCGCGTGAAGATGTGACGCGACCCAGGCGTGCGTGAGGCATTCCTGAGCTTCAACGAGGGGGCGCCCATCGCCTGCGTTGCCGGCGCTTCCCGCGCAGCCGTGCTTAACGCGTGCGCCGCCGTCGCCGCCGTCGAGACCGCGGTCGCCATGCGCGACGCAGGTCTCCGGGCCGAGGAAGAGGTGTCCAGGCTGTCCAAGTAGGTCGTCGCTGCCATCCTCGAGGGGCTCACCATCAGGGTCAAGTGCGCATGTTTTGAAAAGCGACCGCTCGCGGGCGCCCAAAAAAGTCATAGGCTCCAGTCGCGTCTTTAAGCGGAAGCGCCGAAGGGGCCCCGACACCTCGGGCAGGTGCCCGGCCACGAGTCCTTCAGCGAGAGGGCCGAGTGCCTGCGTTGCGTCGAGCTGGGCACGGGATGCAAGGGCGCACCCTTGGCCTTCTTTATTAAGCTCGCCCAGGTCACGAGCAGACTAGAGTGCGGCGCCGAACCCGCCGTGTGGGGCCTGGAGCTCGAGGTCGTGCGTGAGTCGTCCGGCAATTGCGTTGCTGGCGACTCGCTCTCCTAGCGCGTAGACGACCTGAAAATCGCCGGACAAAAGGGGCCACCTCGACAAGCTTATCTGGCACGTCGAGAGCGTCTTTGGTAAGGTAAAGGGGGGCTGCGACGACCTCGCCAACTGTGGCGCCCATCAGCGCCGCATGGGATCTTGCCGTTCGAACAGGACGAGTATTAAGTCGGGCCTGTCCCTCCACAGGGGAGTTTTCAAAAAGAGTCAAAAAATAGCCTGGGGTCGGTTTTTGGGTTATTTGTTTGAATATTTGTTGAATATTTTTTGCCCGACGGGCCCGGCCCGCCTTTCCCAGCCGCCATGTCCATTCTCTGTCGTTGGGTCCACGTTGCCCTCCGCGACCCCCCTGCCTCCAATCTGAGAGAAAGCGTCGAGGCTGCTTGTGTGGGCCCGTCCCTAGAAAACCAATTCACTGGCCAAACTTGCGTCCCAGGCCGCTTTTAATTTTCCGGACAAGCACACCATATTGGCTTGCTGTCAAAACGAACCCACCAACCACCCACCACTCACGTCCACCACCCGCCCACCACCCACCCACCACCCACCGCCCACCCACCCACCCACCCGCCCACTCACCACCCACCCGCCGCCCACCAACCACCCGCCGACCCACCCGCCCACCACCAACCCACCACCCACCACCCACCCACCACCCACCCACCCGCCACCCACTTACCACCCATCCGCCGCTCATCCGTTATCTGCCCATCAACCACCCACCCACTATCCACCCATCCCCGCCCACCCACCCATCACCCACCAGGAGGAAGAGGAGGAGAGAGGAGGAGGAGGAGGAGGAGGAGGAGGAGGAGGAGGAGGAAAGGAGGAGGGAGGGAGGAGGAGAGCAGGAGGAGGAGGAGAGGAGGAGGAGGAGGAGGAGGCGGAGGAGAGGGGGAGGAGGGGGAGGAGGCAGGGAGGAGGAGGACGGGAGGAGGGGAGGAGGAGGAGGGCGGAGGAGGAGGAGGAGGAGGAGGAGGAGGAGGAGGAGGAGGAGCAGGAAGAGGAAGAGGAAGAGGAAGAGGAATATGACGAGAAATAATATTAATAGTAGTAATAATTCTACTACAAGTAATAACAATACGACGAATAAGGATAATAAGAAGAATAAGAAGACGACTACTAATAATAACAAGACGAATCATAATAATAATAAGACTAATATTGATAATACGAAGAAGAATAGAACGAATCATAATAATCATAAACATACTAATATGAAGAATCGTATCAAGAATAATGATACTAGTATTCAGAAGATACGAATAAGAATAATCATACACATAATAATATCAATGAGAATGATACTAATATTACTAGTAAGAATAATTCTAATACGACGAATAATAACAATAATAGTACACATAGTAATACTAATACTACTAGTACTAATATTAATAAGAATGATAAGCCTAATAATAATAAGACTACTAATAATAATGATAATAATACCGACCTACTAATAAGAAGAAGCATAATAATACTTATACTCAGAGTAATACTCGTATTACCAATAATAATACTACTGATACTAATAGTAATAATATCAATAAGAACAATACTACTCATAATAATAATACTAATACTAATACTAATAATACTAATAAAAAGACTAAGAAGCAGAGGAACAATTATAATAGTAATAATACTACGATGAATAATACTATTGATACTATGTATAATAAGAAAAATAGGCCGAATAATAATAATCAGGATACTAATACTAATAATAATACTGATAAGAAGAATGCTAATAATAGTTAGAAGAATACTAATAATAATATTAAGAATAAGAACAATAATCATAGTACTAATAATAATACTAAGAAGAAGAATACTAATAATAATACGCATAATAATAATACTACTAATAATAATACTAATACTAATACTAATACTAATACTAATACTAATACTAATACTAATACTAATACTAATACTAATACTAATACTAATACTAACACTGTTACTATTAATAGTAGTACTAATAATAATACTGATAATGATAATAATCATAGTATGACCAATAATATAAATAATACCAATGATAATAATAATACTACTAATAATAATAAGTATTAAAATAATAATAGTAGTAGTAGTACTAATAATAATATTAATGAAAATACTAATAATAATAATGATAATAATAATACCAATAATAATAATGATGATGATAATAATAATAATAAGAGGAGGAGGAGGAGGAAGAGGGAGGAGGAGGAGGAGGGGAGGAGGAGGAGGAGGAGGAGGAGGACGAGGAGGAGGAGGTAGGAGGGAGAGGAGGAGGAGGAGGAGGAGGAGGCGGAGGAGGCGGAGGAGGCGGAGGAGGAGGAGGAGGAGGAGGAGGAGGAGGAGGAGCGACAGTGCCTGCCGCAGGCAGAAAAGCTCGGTCAGCCCCGCCAGGGGAGCGGTCCGCCTCCAAAACCGCGGGGGCGACAGTGCCTGGCGCGTCGGCCTGACGGAAAACCCCCCGACCCGAAACATGCAGGCGCCAACGCTTCTGGATGATGAGGGCGAGGCCCCCAGAGCGTCCCGCGGGTCTTCTCGCCGCCAGCTTCGCCTTCGCTTCCCTTGTCGCCGCCGCCGCTTTCGCTTCCGATGTCGTCGTCGCCGCCGCCGCCGCGCCGCCGCCGCCACCGCCGCCGTCGCCGCCGTCACCGCCGCCGTCGCCGCCGTCGTCGTCGTCGTCGTCGTCGTCGTCGTCGTCGTCGTCGTCGTCGTCGTCGTCGTCATCGTCGTTCGTCGTCGTCGTCGTCGTCGTCGTCGTCGTCGTCTTCGTCGTCGTCGTCGTCGTTGTCGTCGTCGTCGTCGTCGTCGTCGTCGTCGTCGCAACCACCCTGGTCGCCCAGTCGCAGACTGCTCAAAATTTGTCCCCAGACCTCTCCGTGGGGACGTCTTCGCCAGCCTCTCATCCCGGCTTAGATTCCCGATGGGATGGCCCTCCGGGACCTCAAGCGGGCCCCTGGATGACGATGTCGAGGCCCCCAAAGCATCCCGCGCGGTTTTCACGCTGCCGCTTTCGCCTTCTCTTCCGCCCCCGCCGCCCCCGCCGCCGCCGCTGCCGCCGCCGCGGCCGCCGCCGCCGCCGCCGCCGCCGCCGCCGCCGCCGCCGCCGTCGTCGTCGTCGTCGTCGTCGTCGTCGTCGTCGTCGTCGTCGTCGTCGTCGTCGTCGTCGTCGTCGTCGTCGTCGTCGTCGTCGTCGTCGTCGTCGTCGTCGTCGTTGTCTTCGTTTTTGTGGTCCGTCGCCGCGCTCGCGCGCGCGAGCGGCGGCGCGGGCGGCCAGGCCTGGGACGGAGACTGAGGCAGCGGCGACGACCGCGGCGTCCCCCCCGCCGCGCGTGCGCCAGTGGCGACCACTGGCTGGAGTCCTTCAGCCGCGGCCAGTGGCTGAAGGGCACGCCGCCGCAGGCGCCGCGCGACGAGGAGGATCCCTCGCCCGCGGCACCCGCGTGGCGGCGGCGGCGGCGGCGGCGTTGTCCCCTGGGATCCTGGCGTCTGATTTTTTACGAGCAGGCCATTTTCGCCTTGTTCCGGGCCCCAGGACCGTCACATATCGACCCGGCTTGAACAGCGCAGAGAGATCATGTCTAAGTCTCTGGTCGTGATGCTTTGCGATGTTGTATTTCTTTTGCAGCGTCGGATCTCAGGGTCGTCGTCGGCGTCGGCGTCTTCCGTCGAAGGTTGCGCCCGCGAGGGTGAGAGGTTTTCTGGCACTGCGTTTTCTATGGGCTCCCCTTCGAAAATCCTGGCCAGAGTGCACCCCCGGAGAGATCTTCTTGGAGCGGACTCCCGCGGGGGAGGTCGTCATCGTCGGCTTGGACGTCGGTGTCGACGTCGGCGTCGGGATCGCCGTCGGCGTCGGCGTCGTCGGCGTCAGGGTCGTGTTCGTCGTCGCTGTTACTTTCGGTGTCGTCGTCGCCTGGAAGCAGATGGAGGATGGAGGGAGGTGGAGGGAGGACGAGCAAAATGCTACGTCGCTGCACGGCAGGTTCGCGTCGTGTCGACGCGGCGGCGGCCCCGCCGCCGGCTTTCAACATGGAACTCCGCCGGCGACCCAGAATCGGTCGATGTTGCAAGTTGTGACGCTTCGGAAGCGGCCGACCGCTCCGAAGCGATCCCCGCGGTGTCAGAAACTGGCGCCGAAGTCGGCACGACACGAGCCTGCCGAAATCCGTCGTCGTCGTCGCCGTCGTCGTCGTCGTCGTCGTCGTCGTCGTCGTCGTCGTCGTCGTCGTCGTCGTCGTCATCTTCGTCGTCGGCGTCGGCGTCGGCGTCGGCGTCGTCGTCGTCGTCGTCGTCGGCGTTGTCCTCCTCAGCGCCAGCGCTCGTGGGGAGGCCCTGGCGCAGAAGCTTCGCCAGGGGCAGCTGCGCGGGCCCCCAGCCTTCGCGAGGCTGGCGGAGCTGCCGTGTATACGTTTGCCGCGGCGTATCTCTCGGCGCGCCCGCAGTGGCCGCGCGGGGAGAGCGCGCCGTCCTGGCGCGGAGGGCGGGCGTCAGGGTAAACGATGGGGGGGGCAAGGCACAGGGGGGGATGCATGGACCCCCAATCGCCCATTGATCGCCGACAATAGGGGAAACATCGGGGGGGGGATAGGCTTCGGGGTCGGTTCTCGACGGCTTTCCATCCTCGGGTTGCCCGAATCGTCCCAAACGGCCGCTGGAGAGCCGAGTTGTGACCCGAAAGCCCATGGGGCAATGCCGTGAGGGACAGGCTCAGGGAGGGATGCATCGACCGACAGTCATTCGCTGATTGCCGAGAAGGGTCTCCCCTCCTCCTCCTCCTCCTCCTCCTCCTCCTCCTCCTCCTCCTCCTTCTCGGTAGCTCCGCCACGCCCAGGAGCGTGCGGAGTCGCTATCGGGGGCCCATCGCCGACGTATCGTCGATGCGTTGCCGATTCCGGCTCGATTTTTTCTCTCTGGGCCAGTCCACCCCCTCCTTCCCTCTGTCATTGGAAGGGGACGAAAGGATGAGGGGGGTGCTCTTAGGTATCCAAAGAGCAGAGGGCTACATAAGCATAAGCAGTCGAAGGTCCGCGTGGAGTTCCCCTGGCGGTGCATCTAGAGCGCCGCCCCGGCGCGCTGCGCGCGCCAGGGGGAGGGCGGATCCAGCGCAGGTCAAAGAATTCTCTGCGCGGACGCTTCGAGCGTTGCTGTTTATGCTGCTGCTTCTTCCTTCTTCTTGTCCTTCTGATCCTTCTTGTTCTTCTTCGTTTTCCACTTCTTCCCGGTCCTTCTCCTTCTTCGTCTTCTTCTTTATCTTTTTCTTCTAATCGCTCTTCTTCTAGTACTTGTACTTTCTCAAGATGCCATAATAAGGGGTGGTCACAACCCTCCCAGACGAGCAATTTTAGACGCTCCCCAGAGCAGCCAAGAAAGGGCTGCCCTTTGCCCCAACCCCCTGTGGCCCTGCAGGACAGCTTAGATCAGACCACCCGAATCAGACCCCTCCGACCCCATCTATCCTGACATCCAGAGTAACCCTCTTCCTCCTCCTACTCGGGCATCTCGCAATGCGTTGCTGGCAACCCGGCCCTCCTGCTCAGCGCATTTTCCAGCTTGCTCATGTACGCGGCGGGGAGGGGCTGGCGGCAGGCGGCTTCCCCGCGGACCCAGGCCAGTTCGCTGGCGGTTCGTGAGATAGGGGTAGGTGCTGTGCTCAGTGCAAGTCGCAACATTTGCACTGTGCGCAGCAGCACCGATGGTTCTTGGGGGCAGTAGTGGCAGTTTATGTTATGTGGAAGCATCCTGATGAAGCGGCTGACCACGCCCCCAGCTCACTGGAGAGTTCCAAGTGGTATCCAGGCGAGGCCCAGCCGCAGCCGCGGCAGGAAGCCCTAGAGGCATACCCCCAGTCTTTCCTACGGTCCAGATTGAGCCTAAAGAGGCAGGTATATAGCACCATGCCATTGCGGATGAGAGTGAGGGGGCCAGGAGGGAGAGGAAGGGGAGGGAGAAGCGAAGCTACGACCACGCGTTTCTTGAGGCAGTCCGCCTCCCTAGTGAGCCCTTCCAGCGTGCCCTCCAGCGCGCCCTCCCAGCGCTCTCCCAGAGCACCTTCCAGCGTGCCCTCCCAGTGTGCCCTCACAGCGTGCCTTCTCGGCGTGCCTTCCCAGCGTGCCTTCCCAGCGTGCCCTCCTAGTGTCCTCCCAACATGCCCTCCCAGCGCCCCCTCCCAGAGCGCCTTCCCAGCGCGCCCCAGCGTGCCATCCCAACGTCCATTCCCAGCGTGCCCTCCAAGTGTCGCCGTCCCTACTCCGGCCACGCGCGCGCGCAGGGATCATGTAAGACCCTTCGGCCCCCGCACTCTGACGTATCTGCCCCATCGGGCAAGATGGTCAATCTGAACCGTCGCACTCGAAGCAGTGCTTGGAGTGGTGCAGGGCAGGGTGCCAGTTGGGTGTCTGGGAAGCTTCCCAGCAATCCCATATTTTGCTTAGTAGTTACCCTGTGGTACACCATGGTAATGCGTCAGCCCCCTGGTCCCACCAAGGGGACTTAGGCGCCACAAAGACTTCTTTTCCGCGTGCGCTCGAGGTTCATTCCGTTTTGCGCATTAGTCCGCTCTGGGCGGCAATGCGGACAGTCATGCACAGTGCACAGTGCCTGAAGAGATCAGGTTAGACACGACAGCCTGCACCTCGGATGGAACAAATCGCTAAAAGTTGTTTCCACCCTGCTCTGAAGGCCAAGAAGCCAGGCTCTAGGTTGAGACAGCTAAGCTGTCAGCGCTCATCGCGCTGAGCCCGCTTGACATCTTCTGGCGGTTTTGGCGTTGCACACATTGATGTTTCACACAGTCGGAAACGGAGGTGCCGTTCGTGGGAGCGTCGGCCTGCCCCGTGTGTGGTTTTTTCTGACAGGTCCGGATGAGGACAGTCAACCACACGCCGAAACGTTGGAGACGGACAGGACCAGGGGTGCCCGAGAAAGTGCTCATAGTCAGTCCTAGACGAAATCAAGGCGCGCGACAAGGGCTTCAACGCGGGTGGGCATCATGTCTTGTATGTAGCAGTGATGTGGAAATCTATGGCAAACTGCGGCTGATGCTGCTGTTGCTCTTAATGTTGCTGCGGCTGCTGCTGGTGCTGATGATGGTGATGCTGATGCTGATGGTGACGACGATGATGGTGATGATGACGATGCTGATGATGATGATCATGATGGTGGTGGTGGTGGTGATGGTGGTGGTGGTGGTGGAATTGTGGTGGTGGTGATGATGATGATGATGATGATGATGATGATGATGATGATGATGATGATGATGATGATGATGATGATGATGATGAGAAGGAGGAGGAAGAGGAGGAAGAAGAGGAGGAGGAGGAGGGGGAGGTGTAAGATGGTCCCCGGCAGGACGAATTGCAGCCCTCGAAATCCGCAGTTCCGGCCGAGCGCGTAGCGGGGGGGGGGCGCTCGTCTGCCGCTCCCGCCGGCTCCACCCCCCACTCCTCCTCTCCTCCTCCACCTCCTCCTCCTCCCCTTCCTCCTCCCTCCCTCCCTCCTCCTCCTCCTCCTTCCTCCTCCTCCTCCTCCCTCCTCCCCCTCCCTCCCTCGCCTCCCTCCCTCCCTCTCTCTCTCTCTCTCCCTCTCCTCCCCCCCTCCCTCCCTCCCTCTCTCCTCCTTCTCCCCTCCTCCCGCCCTCCCGGAGGAGTTGGGGTACTTGTTGCCCAGGGGTCCAGGAATCCAGAACCCCCTCAGCAAGTCCAGGGCGGTGGAGTTCTGAGCAGACGTTGATTTTCTGTTTGAAAGCAAAAAGCGATGTCCGCGCACATTCAAGTTTTGACAGCGCCGGGCGTCGCGATACCAGGGGTGGGAGCAGCCGGCCCAGGAGAATCAGGAGGTCTTGTGGAATCCAATTGGACGCCGGCGGTAAACCGCCAACCTAGTTATCGCTGGGACCCTCGTAGAGCTCCCCGCGTTTCGAAAAAAAACTCAAACAAAGCGGAAGCATCGTAATTCTCAAAGCGGCAACTTGACTCGACCGAATTGCGCTCTTTGATGCACGTAGTTTGTTTCATTCGAGCGTTCTGTTTCGACAGCAATCAGTTTCGACGCTGGCGATTGCCTGCAGCTCACGCTAGCTGCCGTTAACCTTCTCTACAATAGAAGAATTTATCAAATAATCTATTCATAGGGTTCGACAATGATGTCGACCTCCTGAGGCGAGTCATTTCATTTATCTCATCAGTCTTCTGCGGGGGAAATCAGTGTGCTCCCTGGCAATGGCCTGTACCTTGTGCTTTCTTTTGCCTACCTGTCCGGCCTCAGAAAAATGAACCATGTGATTAATATTTGTTTGAATATTATGACAGTTCTAGAGTGAGTTCCACTCCCTCATACCTTGACTTTATTGTTCTGCTGTTGCAGTATTAGTGTCAAGCCTAACGGCATGTGAATCGAACCGTATTCTTCTGAGGTGCTCTACCTC